AGCAGGAATCACAGGAACAGAAAAATCTGCCATGGTTTTAGCAACCCATGGTGTATTTGTACAGCAGGTCCCTGATTCTGCCATCAAAACTCATGAGCTGGAGGCTCTTAAATGTTGAGCAAGAGGGGGGGAAAAAAATCAATCATCAATCAAATCCAAGGCCTTGGCTGGCAGCATCAGCTGCCTCCTCCTGCTCTCAGGGGATGAAGGGGCAGCAACACCAGCTGCTCCAACCCTGACACATGGGCCAGCCCTGGAGGAACAGGACATGCCAGGTCCCTCCAGTGCCACCTCTCCCTGTCCCCAGTGGGCACAGCCAGAACCAGATTTTAACACTGAACCAACCAATTCCTTCCCCCTCTCCTTTTTTTTTCCTTTTAAAGCCTTTTGTTTCCTGCCCATTGTCCCCAGGCTCTGCCCACCCACACCCCACCCTCTGCTCCTCACACAATCTCTGCTTTGTTTACTGGCACATAAATATTTACAATCCCCAGCCAGCAGTGGTTCCCAGCACAAACAGAAAGGGACACCCCTGAGAGAGTTCAGGGTCTTTACCATATGGATCAGGGGCTCTGCTCCCCAGGCAGAGCCAGACACATTGGGCTGAGGGTCATTTGGTCAGGGAGGGGCTGGACCAGGGCAGCAGGGAAAAGGCCCCACAAATAAATGGTTGTGTAGAGAATGTGCCAAATATTCACCCTGGCTCCCAGAGGGTGATGCAAGCCTGTGTGACCCCTGGTAGTTCTGTGAGTCTTGATTGATGTCCTGACATCTCTCTGCATTGCTTCTGATCATAGAGACTGCTCTGCTCTCCTCCCTGGCTGCTAACCAGCCCTTGTATGCTGCTAACCAGGCCTGGTGAGAAGGAAGGGGAGTCCCAGCCCCAGCACATGGGAAAACACTTCTGTTTCCTTTCCTATTTTGCACAGGAGCACCTTGCAGGTGAGAGCACATAGCACAGCATCTCAGGACAGAGCAGCAAGCCAGGGAACCCAGCCAGGATCTGCACTCTCACCAAAAGACAACACAGACACCAGCACCTTCCAAACACAGGCTTTGTTGTAGATTCTCCAGGGTGAGATCAGAAATGCTGCCTTATTCCTGAGAAACTCCTCCCTGAAGGGACTGATCCCACAGGGTGAGACAGAGGGAACCAACTGTCTCCTTGCACAATCACCCCAAGAGACCTCCCTGCACCAGAACCCTTATTCAACTCCCCTAAATCCAGTGTCCCAGCTGCAAGAGAACCTGTCCTCCAGGTACTGGTGGGAGAGGAAATGCCTGTGGAAGGGAATGCTGGCTCAGAAGACAATCTGTTACCTGCAAACCTGAAATCATCTTCTTTGCTTCCTCCATTTCCTTTTCCAAATGGTCCTGTTGTTCCAAAAGCTGCTCCTCCCATGAATTCTCCAGATATGAGCCAGGGCTCCCTGCTTGCCACTCAGCCTGGAAATGAGATTGTGTCTCTTCTGGAAGAAAAAGCAGCTGAATGTGATCATGAGAAGCAGAGGAGCCCAGAAGAGGCTTTCACCACCCAACACCTGCCTGCTGTCCACACCAGCTACCACCAACACACCACAGAACAAAATCACTTCAGAAACTTCTTTGAAAACTTCTCCTTGGACCTGCATGGAAAGGTGAGGTGCAAAGTGGCCACATCCCAGGGCCCTGGTGGCAACACAAGCCTCATTTCTCAATGCAAACACCACAACAGCTCCACACAGCTGCTGAATTCCTTGCAAAGCAACTCAGCCTGGGTACAGATGCGCTGGCAAAACCAGACTGGTACACAAAATTATGCACTAAGGGCTTGACAAGCTCACATGGGCTCTCTGAGGGAATTTAAAATGTGAGTTTTTTTCAGTATGGCCTAAGGAGGCTGTGCTGAAACCATTCATGCTACAGCCAAAGTTATACATGATTCTTACTCCAGAGCTTTTTATTTCCCCAGGCACTATTTTGTTTTCTTCACAGACACATCAGGGCATTATTGGAGTGTTAGAACTTCAGGGACTTAGTTTCATGTGAACTAATTCACATCACACTCTGTACATTGATTTCAGCAGGTTTCTGACACAAACCAATCCCCGGGGAAGTGGGAGCTGTAAAACACCTGCAAGGTACCTGGTTTGGTGTCTGTTTCTTCAGGGTGGCTGATCACAAGTCTTTCCTTCTCCTCGGATGGGGCGACAGTGGATTCACTCTTGGCACTGTGGACAGGGCTGGGTGATGTGAGGCTGCAGGGGGAAGAAGAAACAGTTCTTTCTAGTGCTGACCAGTGTCATCCTCAGCTGAGATAAGGGAGTAGCAGGCAGGCTGGATGGAACAAGAAGGAAGCCCACAGGAAAGATGGGGAGGGGCTTTTCATCAGAGAGGGCAGTGGTAGGACAAGGGGTGATGGTTTTAAACTGAAAGAGGGGAGATTGAGGTCAGACATCAGGAAGAAATTCTCCACCATAAGGGTAGGAAGGTCTGGAACAGATTGTCCAGGGAGGTTGTTGATGCCACATCCCTGGGGGTGTTGAAGGGCAGGTTGGATGGGGCTTGGAGCAGCCTGGGCTGGTGGGAGGTGTCCCTGCCCATGCAGGGGTGGGACTGGATGGTCTTGAAAGTCCTTCCAACCCAAACCAGTCTGTGATTCTATGAATTCTCTGCATCCTGGAGTAGCCATGAACACAAACTGGGCACATGTAGCTCTGCCACCACCACACCAGCAGCAAGGCAGGGCTAACTGGTGAGCAGCACAACGTGTCTCTTTTTTTCCTTCAGCAGGTTTGGGGCTGCCCCCCATGGAACCCACACACAGCAAGAGCACCCCCCACTGAAGACCAGCCCCCAAGACCCTTCCCAGGGAGCCTGCTGTTCACACTTGCAGCTGCACACCAAGCAGCCCAGGCTTGCTGCAGCTCCTGCTCCAGCTTCCAAAAGCAGCACTTCACTAACTTGGAATTCCAAGGGCAAAACACCTTCCCAAGTCAGGCACCACTCCCTGCCTTCACAGGGCAAAGAACCCCTCCCAGTACTATCACACTTTCACTGCAGCCATCTCAGCTGAATGCAAAGGTCAAGCAATTTATTTCTTTTCCCCAAGAAATTCTTCCTAAATGCATCACCCAGACAACACCAGGAGGTGGCTGAAGCTCACTGACCCCTTCAATGTCCCCCTAAAGTCTCAGGAACTAATCCTTGCAAGTGTGAGCAGGAGTTAATTTTTCATTCTCCCCAACACAGAAAACAAAGGGCAGAGAACAAAAAAGAAAACAGGGTGGAAATAATAGAATAGGCTTAGGAAAAGAAAAAAAAATCAGTGCCTTTGACAGCTTCCCTTCCACATCTTCCCAGGGCTGCTGCTACATATTCCACAGCTCCCACAGACTCAGCAAAGCCTTGCAATAGATATGGAAATGACTTGCAGCTCCTGTCTGGTCCACTCCCACAGCCAGTGCTGGCCTACTTCTCATTTCTATTGCAGACCCTCCAGCAGGCTAAACAGATTTCCACCATGTTCAAGGAAAAGATGAATGCAACCTGCTTAAGTGAAAGAAATATCCATCTTCCCATGTGGAGCCCTAACAGCTCCAGTGCCTCTTCCTTCCTGCCCAACCAGGGTGTGCAGGATTGTTAAGGGGGTCCAGGCCACCTGGCTTGAATTTACCCTCAGGAAGACTTAACTCCAGCCCACACACACTGTGTGTGCAACACTTTTAACCAGCCCCCTGGCCCTGCTTGTCACTGGGGGAGTGCACAGCATCACTGCTTGGGAGCCCAGAGGGTACCTGGGGCTTTGCATTCAATAAGGGTCAGAGGAAAGGATGGAACTTCCCAACAGCACAAGGGACAAAGAGTGAGCCCAGCTGATCTAACACATCTAGGAACTGAGCAGGATGTGACTTCCTGCTAGGAAAAGGTCTCTAGACTCCCAGATGATGCTCTGAATATGCCACCATCCTCACAGTGCCCTGCTGGTCCTCACCCATGCAGAAGATGAAAAAAAAAAAAAGAGAGTTGTTCCAGAAAAAACAGTATTAGCACATGTTGGGTGTGAAGGGGGTGAAACTGAGGGATGGGCAAGAGCAGGGAACTGGAAAGAAGAATGAGAAGGAGAAAAAAAAATGGGGATACAGAGCCTGGAAATAACAGTCTCCTCTTCCAAAGTCTGATCCTCTCAGCACTGGATCTACAGCCCAAAGCAAAGGCAGAAGATCCCAGCTGGGGACCCTACAGGTCTCCAC